TGTTTTACATCCTTCTATATGAATAGTCCTAGGTTTCATGTTTCCCATGTCAGAGCAGTCGGTTTCGCCATTATCCAGCTGCCTTTGGAGGCTTACTTGCATTAGGAGCCTTCCTACCAATCCCTCATTCAGCTGCAACAAACAAAGGCTTTCTGTAAGAGTCCTCCGTCATACAACACAAGCAACAGTAGGAACAGGGTTGTTTTTCTGCTGTTTAGTAGAAAATGACTAAATAAATCAAGTAATACATACAGAATAATCATTATGAAAACAACATTAAAATGAAATATGTTTACATCGTAAAAGATATATAGTATAGAGCCTATTGTAAAGTCCCCTTGAGGGAATTAGCTTTGGACTAAAGTGCTGTCACTTAAGCCACCCACACAAAAGATCAATAGAAAGAAAATAGAAATAGAGAATAAGCCACACAACCAGACTCCTATACAAACCAGTCCAACAGCCGCATGCACTCAACTCACTCATTAAGATTGTTTTAACGTAGATATTCTTAATATTATTGTTGGAAATATTATTTAGCTTTTCACCAAAACATGTTTTATGTTTATTGCTGTATTAAGTCAAAAGATTTGGCCTTAAAATGACTCTTAAATGTTATAGTTTAAAGGATTTTACATCTAAATTAGATTTAGAATGGTTTCATTTATGTTTAACAGCACTATCTGACAGAACCAGAGTGAAATGTCTCAACTAACCAACACAACTTTCCATCAAGGGAAAAGTTGATTTAGAATACACTGCAAAAAAGGTATTTTTTTCTTAAAATAAGTGCATTTTTTCTTGAATTGAAGACTTAAGTGAGACGCTTCGCCAATGGAACAAGACAATTTACATTTGAAATAAGAAAAAAAACAATTGTATTGTCTTATTTCAAGTGCATATTAACTAATTATCCTATTTTAAGATAAATAAAAAAAAAATCATTCCATTGGCAAATCATCTCATTTACCTACTCAAATTAAGAGGAGATAAACTCAATTTATTTATTTTTTTTAACTTATTTCTAGATAGTTTTTGCGGTGTAGAAAGTTATTTGACTTTAGCAAATGCTGACCTTTTGGAAATCTCTAAAATCCATGTTGGCTCCAAATAGTGTTGGGATCTGGTGATTTCTTACAGGCTTAGGAAACCAGTTCATCGATTCTCAGTATAATCAGGACAAACCAGTCTCCCACTGGGATTATTACAGCTGTATCTCCTGCAACATGTTGCTGGCTATAAATGTTAGCAGGTAAGCTGTGTAACAAGTCATTCATCACCAGATGTCAGGGGACTGAACACCACTTGGAAAAAGGAGCAGCACCTTTTGAGTGTCTTGATGCCCCAAGGAGGAACAGGACCTTCCTAAGCAAAGCAGGATATCAGTGGATCTCCAGCAGAGAGTAGAGCTGTGATCAAAATTATGTTTATGTGCCATTAAATGGTGAAAGTCCAACTACTGTCATAAACCACATGTCATCATACAGTTGCCACAGAGCATCCTCTTTTCTGTGTTCCATTGATGCAGGTCTGCTTTTTGTTTCCTCTAAAATCTAAGCTGCTTCAGAGTCGAGTTAGCTAATTGATATCACCTGTTCTAAAACCGAAAATCCTAAATATCACAAAACTAAATAATTTGATTTAGGATAAGTGTCTATTAACTTTAAGTTTATCCAACTTTATGAAAAGGACCCTCAAGAAATGTAGTAGGGGTTTCCTGAACACTAACGCACGCACATGAAGAGCCAAAAATCAACTCTCACCTTAAAAATAGACATCATACGCATTAAATACAACTTCATCAAGACAGAGGAGAAAAATGGGCAATGAATGGATTCACCAGAAAGAAAAGTTTTTAGATTTACTCAGCTAACGGTTTCGCTGCCTGTCCTCCACCTCCAGGGAAACTTAATTGCCAGTCACCCCTTTAAAGTCCGAACACATAACAAGCCGTCCACCATCCTCTATATATCAGGAAAGTCCAGCCTTTTATTCCAGAGTGAATCAAAGGAAAACTCCATTGTTGTTCAGCAATCAAAAAATAGAGTTTGCAGTTTTATGTTTTTGTTTTTTTTTTTTTATGTGAAGCCATTTTCATTGTCTTATCTGTTGAGTATTACACCGAGGTTCCAAGGTGCCTCTGTTATTGATGGCTTAGAGAAGAATAAAAAACTATCATAAATCAGGAAAGAGATCAATTAGAATAATTGTCATTTTCTTTAGTTTACCAATCAATTTCTTTCACTTTTGTTAAACCAGCTTAGCTGCGATCTTGTTTTATTATTAATGTAGTATAAGATTTTAGAGTAGAAGCCATTAAAAATTAGGGGTGCGGGAAAAAAATCGTTTTCGTGATATATCCTGATTTTTCGGCTGCCCAATATATATCGATTTTTCACTTCCTAGTCGATTTCAAAAACAAAACATTTTACCATGAAAAAAAATATCTGTAACAACATGGATACCAAAATAACTAAATAATTCAATATCTAACTAATAAATCAATGTCCTCTAATGTACATATAAAGCACTTGCTGTTTTATCTATACATGTTATTTTGATAGATAGAAAAATATAATATATAGTGATATTGCAATATGGTGATGATATCGTATTATTCATTGACATTTATCGCATCAACCATGCCAATACTCACCCCTATTCAAAATGGCCCTTGCCAGTCAAACACCAGCTGAATGGCAGCGCACTTCCCTGCAGCTCCCAGCAAAATCCCTTCCAAATTCCAGCCAATGGCCTTCTCTCGGGTGTGCATTATTTTTCTACTCTGACTAATGTCCGCAAATCTTGACAGAAAGAATATTTTAGTACAAAGATTGATGTTTAAAAAGGATTTGTAGGGGACCAGTCAAGGACCAGCCGGGGACCCATTAAGGAAAGTGGGTAAATTTTAAACGGCTACCACTGTATAATGTCTTCCTATAGCTCAAATAATTTTTTTAAACAGCCAAAAAAATTTTTCGTTTAACATAATTCAATTCAATTCAGTTTATTTCTATAGCGCCAAATTCACAACACGTGTCATCTCAAGGCACTTTCCAGTTCACCAGATCATCCAGTCAGATTGATTCAAAGTTTTCTATCTAAGGAAAACCAGCTGATTGCATCGACTCATTGACTCTTCAGCAATCCCTCACACTAAGCATGCTTGTAGCGACAGTGGAGAGGAAAAACTCCCTTTGAACAGGAAGAAACCTCCAGCAGAACCAGGCTCAGTGTGAGCGGCCATCTGCTGAGGCCCACTGGGGTTCAAGGAGACAGAAGCAGACATAGAAAAAGAAGCATAGATACAAAAGGCAACTGTTAACCAGCTCCACAGGCGGCCCCGTCCAGGAAACACACAGCCAGGCAGACGAGCTCCGAGCCAGCTCCCATGTCAGAGGACGAAGAGAGCACATCCAGTTAGTCACAGTCAGAGAAACAGGACTACACTGGAAAACAGGCCAAGCTCCAACATCTAGAAACAAAGGCGTTGATGGAAGCAACACAGCTGATGTTACTATATAACATACAACTGATCTCCTACACACTCACCCTTTGTTTTGGCATTACCAGTCAAAATGTCTCCATATTTCCTGAGCTGTTGTCCCACTCTTATTTCCTCATCCTCTATTAAAGGTACAAACACATTAGGGTTGAACTCCTAATAGCCTGTTTGATAGATGCCTGAGAATAATGAGCCCTTTATGAGACATAATACCTCCTATTAATCAATGGACATAGTTGGGCATTTTTCAATACTAGCATTTTAAAAGGAACCCTCGTAGAATAAATCGACTCACATTCTATAACCTCTGACTTTCTTTTTCTCTCGTCTTGTTCCTCTTCTATTGGTATATATGTAATTAGCTACATAATGTATTCAAAATCAGCTGATGACGGTTCTTCAGAAATGCCCTTTTCCTGCTCTGATATTGGTAAGTGCTGTCCAGACTAAGAGCTGCAGTGATGGAAACACAATGCTAAGCTTTAATGCAGTGGGCGGACCAGACTATCCTTGGCCTCCAGTGATAGAACCATGAATGACCTATTTATTGCTGTGAATATCAAATCCCGGCTGCTGCAGCTGCTGGAAGTGTCTCTGTTAATTTCTGCTGGTTCTTGTTCTGTTGTTCTTTGAACTTCAGCTCTCCAGTGTATTGCATTGCTTAACGGATATCATGCTTTATTAGCATGATGTTTATTTATAGTCTACATTTATAAATGTTAAGATTTTAGAGATGAAACTGGTGTTGGAATGAAATAAATAAAAAAAAAAATGGCTGTAATCTTAATAGTTGTCATTAAATTGGCTGCAGAAAGTTCAGGTGCGCCTTTTTTTTCGCCCCAGATCTCCAAATGTGAGTGCTTATCGTGCTCATTCTGAGTATCTTGCGTAGTTTTTGTATGAGCGTATGCATTTGGGTGTGTTTGATTATCGCTTACAGGCTCCAAGGGAGCCTGATCCATTCTCACTCTGATAATGAGGGAGAGACTTTCAATGCCCTTAAGTCATTTCTCCTCCCCTTCCATCCTGCACTTTTTTTTTTCTCTTTGCATTTTCCCCGTTACCTTCCTCTAATCCAGATTATCAGGTTTTTTTTGCTTATTCATTGTCTTGTTTTGAATTCATGCATGGCTGCCTTCAGCTCAGGTTGGTCTGGACCGCGTTTGAGTCAAGTCTCTGTTTTTTTGTGGGATAGATTTGTTTGCCGGATGACTATTTTTCATGGCGGTCGATGGTCGAGTATCTCTGTGGACCACGGTGCTGGCAGCTCGGTTTCTCCCCACAATAGCCTTACTTATTCTACATCAATACTCCAATGTGTTGTATATTTGCTGGTTTCTCAAATGTCCATCCGTAGAGCTCCTTCTTACCAAACTCTCCCTGTATGGTCCATAAGGAGTGTTTGGTGGGAGTGAGTTGGAGCAGAACTTCTGTTCATTTTATTCTAACTTTGCTCTCCTCTTCACTCCCCACCTTCCCCTCCCTTGTGTTTCAGGTGACCGAAGCCGTAGCAGATTCTCCAGAAAGCCTCGCCAGCCCTCTTCCTTTAAACCTTCTCCTCCTTTTTTGCACCGTTTGTTTAAAAAGATCAGCATCCTTCAGAGAAGTTGGACATGGATCTAAAGGACCATAAGAACCGCTCTCTGACCGCTAGCCGTTGTGCTAAGGAGTCCCAGTTCAACACGTCCTCACTGGATGCAGATGAGCGCCGGGTTCCCACACAGAAATCCTACAGCTCCAGTGAGACCCTGAAGGCCTTCGATCATGAGCAGAGGCTTCACTACGGTGGCTGCATTACAGACTTGGTGCACCACGAGGCTGATGAGTACTCCAGGCAAGGTGAGTCTGTGCAGCAGTTAGATTACTATATTTATGAAGTATAACCCATTTATCAATAAGTCATTCAATAGACCCATTTGTCTGGTCTCAATGTAGGGGTAAGTATATTTTAATGAATAGCAATTTGTTTAAAAAAACAATTCATGGGATTAATTGATTATTGAAATAATCGTCAACTAATTTACTAATTGATTAATAGCTGGAGCATAGACACATTGAGACGTACCTTGAGCGGACAGAGAAACACACTTAAAGCAGTAATTGTAGGAAAATAGTAAAAAAATATTATAACATTTTGCATTAAAGACTTGGAAAAAAAAAAAAAAAAAACGTTTTCATCTGTCAGTCTGCTCTATCCAGAACTCCTCAGGTGGAAAGGTTTTATTTTCACCTGGTTTGATTCTGTAAAAAAAAAACTTCTTTAAGGAATCTTTGGCTATTCGACTACTAATCGATTAATCCAAAAAAAAAACTATTATTATAAAAAGATTAATCGATTAGCAAAATAATTGTTGGATGCAGCCCTTAAAAAAAAAACAAAAAAAAACATTATGAGCATTTTTTTATTTTTTTTGGGTCAATTATTATTATTTTTATTTATTGATTTATTTTTTTTACAGTGTCCTGTCTGGCAATGTGGCAATAATAATAATTGTCTTGATGCCAAAAAGAGCCCAACAGATTTCACTTTCACAAGTGTAGCAGTATGGTGTTCCGCTTGATTTATGCATATAAATTGCTTTATTATAATTATGCAAGGAGTTTTACAGTTCATATGGACACTGCAATGTAAGTAGAGCAGAAAAACAGAAGAAGAAGAAGGAAAAAGAAAAAGAAAAAAACAGGACAAAAGATGAAAGAAAGAGGAGATAGGAAGGAGACAATGACAAAACATTTTCAGTCTGCTTCAACACCTGTAATGAGATGGAAAAAAAAAAAAAAAAAGAACAGCACAACCAAAAAACATGGTACGAGATATACAATAAAGCAAACACCTTGAAACTATCGCTAACGTAATATTATTAAGTCTGACATGTACTCTGTGTTACCTGAAGATATGAATGTGGGGTTTCTGTTTGGAAGTGAATCTCTAAGTACCTGAAGCCTAGCACCTGTAGTTGTTTGTGAGGGTGAACTTGTGCATGTAAAGTTTTAACCATAGAAAAAAATTAATTATTTTTGATTCTAATTAATTAAACTGAACAGAAACTATATTTTTCACAATACTTCAATACGATCAGATTTGTCATTCTGCCTCTAAATTATGACATCTTTATCGGAATTAATAAAATAAAATGTTACCTGTCTAAATGGAAAAATAAAGATAAACCACATTTTGTAAAACACAAAGTATTGCATGTGTATAGTTTTCCCATCCTTTTAATTTATGTATTTATTGCGTTAAAGGTCTTAAAACATGTTTTAGCAAGAACTAAGAACTAAGGTTTTTGATGACATGAGTATGAAGGTTTAGTTCTTTATGAGTATCATCAAGTGGTCAAATAATTATTAAGTGAATGAATGTTGAATGGCGGCCATATCAAATTGAGGAAACCTTCATCAGCATAGACAGAGCACCTGCATAGCTGAAGGTAAAATACTGCAGTGTTGGGTTGTTGCTGCAACATCTGCAAAGCACTAAGTTAAATTTAGGCATTTCTGAGGTGTAACGCTTGATCATTGCCACTGAATATTTAACGTCTCTAAAATATCGCTGTTTGTTGCTTTTATTTTGAAATCCGTTAACGTATTTTGCGTTTCTAGGTGTGTATAGTATAAAAGTAGTACTCAAGCAGTCTGTAGAGATTATGCAACATTTATTCAAAGCAAACCAGGCAAAGATCAAGCCGCTGTCACACCTTGACGATTTAGACCAGCATCTGCCTGACGTACAAAAAATCTGTCCAAAATGCTGCCATATGTTGGATAAGTTATGGGTACGTTTTGTATAAGTTATAAGTACGCTGAAACATGCTAGCACATGTCGACATACGGCAAGTTCCAGGTCAGTTATCTGATGGCATCCGTTCAGTGTCAGTTCCTCATCAGTCGTGGCGTCTAGCTTCTCCTAAACCTCTGAGTAACTTCTGCGTAACTTATCAAGAACTTCTCTCCAACGCATATCAGCGTATCTGACGTGTTCCAGACGAGCGCTGAACGTGTTTCTAACTTCCAGCTACTGTATAATGGCGTATTAGCAGCGTTTTGGTATAAAGGGGGTTCACAGGAGGAAACCGTCAGTTCTCCTCCAGACTTCATCCCCATCATAGGGTGAGCCAGAAGGGGAGTGATGGATCCTCCCTGCGTTCACGCCCACCACCAACACACTTCCTAGCAGACATGACTCTCAATCTGCTGACACCAGAAACCTGCTTTCTTTTCATTTTTTTTAATTATCATTATTATTAGGGATGCACGATATTGGGATTTTGGCCGATATCCGATATGCCGATATTTTAAAACTCATGTAGCCGATAACCGATATCGATACCGATGTTAAAGCTGGACAAAAATAAGTAGTCATTGAAAATAGCAGTTTTGTTATCCATTTCTGACACTTTGAAAAATAATAAACTCAAATATATTTTCATATGCTGATATCAAATCGATTTTTAAAAACGCGGTATCGATCTATTTTACTTTCAAAATCTCGTGAAATTTCATCGTTCTGTTACAAACTCTCGTGATATTTTCCAAATTCTTGTGAGATTTTGTTAGTAAAATAGATCGATACCGCGTCAATATATCAACATATAAAAATTTGGTGAATTTTCGGGGGATTTCGTAGCATAACGATGACATATAGCAATATTTCATTAATAAAAGAGATTGATATGGTGTTTTTAAATGGCAATATATCAGCATATGAAGATATTGGGATATTTTAATGGATCAATATTTTTTCCCTCGTCTTTAGAAGTTTTTAAGTCTGTAAAAAAGAAGTTTTTGAGGAAGAAGAAGAAGTAGTATTTTTTTTTTTTTTTTTAGACTTTAGAAACTCAGAAGCTGATCAAATATCGGATTAAATATCGGTGGGGTGGCCGATGTCCGATATTCAGTTTTAAGGCCGATACCGATAGGGGGCCGATTATATCGTGCATCCCTAATTATTATTTTTTTTTATTGTCGCTGTTCCCTTCAAGTGCAGCTAAGTGCCTGAGGGGAGCAGCTTTAAGCGATGCTTCGTAAGGCAGTACCCTGTCCTTGGACATAAGTTCTGGACTCGTTATGAATATCCTATGTATACTGCCAAAATAAAAATACATAGAAATATCAGCGTATGCCAGCATTTCAGGATATTCTGGGACGTCAGGCATATGCTGGGTAAATCAGCAGGATATCACAGGGCCCTCAGCTTTATGACTTACAGTAGCGGCCGGTCAAAATGGCTGTTCCCAGTCAATCGCCAGTCTAACTCCCAGCTAAACTCCCAGCTAAATCCCCTCCAACTTCCAGCCACTGGCCTTCTCCTTGGCGTGCATATTTCTTTACTCTGACTCCAACCTTCCTCTGAATTACAAGGTCTGACCAGCAGGTGACGTGTCTCTTTAGATCCTAATGTCCACAAATCATGACAAAAAAGAATATTCCAGTACAAAGATTGATGTTTAAATAGGAATTGAATTGCCAAGGAGCAACCAAGGAAAGTGGGGAAAATCTGAATAGCTGCTACTGTAAAGCAACATAAATATATTAGTGTCATGGCAGTTATTTTTTTCAACAATATATACAGTAATTAGTAAATAATCCACATTTCTCTAAAGGTACTGAGCATACCATCATTTTTAAAGCAAAAAAAGGCTAAGATATGTAACTAACTGGTAATTTTCCTTTATCCAATATTAGGTAAATATTGACTCATATGCAAAGACATTTCTAGTTAAACTTTAAATGCATGTTTTAAGAAAGAAATGCTTTTTTTTAGTAAGTTGCAAATATAATCAAGTTCTCTAATGCCTTTTAATAAAAGAGCAGAACAGATATTTAGCTCTAGCAAAACCATCATAATGAACTTTTGTATCCCCTGCTGAGCAAGTTAGCCAATAGGTCACTTCTTAAGGGTCGGGTCAGCTCCCTCAGCCATATCATTAGACTGTGGCTGTGTATGTACACTCCTGTGTGTATTTTACAGAGGGGGACATGAAACAAAAGTATCGATCCTTGGCTGGTGAAAAGAGTCAGACTCAATGGGATTGATCTCTGCTAAGCTCTGTTTTCTCTGCATGGACACAGACGGCCAGGAAAGTCAGCTCACAGCTACACCAAAAACATGGAGCATGGTAGAAAACAGTGAAACCCGCCTTAAAAGAAAAAACAAAACAACAAAAACATGTCTATTTTCCTGAATAGAATATCTTTACTGAAGCCTTAAAGGCCAAACCTTCCACTGATGTCTTACTGTGTGTGGCTTCAAGAAATTAGGAGAAATGGATCAATCGGATGGTTCAAAGAAGAAAATACTCCACGGCAAACTGAAAAGGGGAAAAAACGCGCTGGAAGAAAAGCGACTAACACAAGATGATGCTTCTATAGAGACAAAAGTAAGAGCAGAAAATTGAGGATTGATTGGCAGAGTTCATGATAGACGGAAAGTCAGTGGTGTGTGCTGCTCGGACACACTCCAGCGCCGCACTGAGCTGACCTCACACCGGGCGATAGCTGGTCGATACCGCCGGTGCTCTCAGCCTATCAGTTCCATCCAAAGCCCAGAGCCACAGATGCATCGTGGGAAGTGTGGCCACAGGAGACCAACAGTGTTGCAGCACCATATGGACTGTGACACTATGGGAGGAGGAGTAGTGCTGGAAGGACAGAGAAAGAGACGGAGTTGGAGTGTGAAAGAATGATAGGAGAGAAGCAGCAGACAAGTTTGCTTGTTTTTTCAAGATATTTTAGTTACCAGAAGATGTGAGCGTTAAGGAGACGATGTCTTCTTGCTTTTGAAACAACCACAACTGGAAAACCTTTGGATGATTTTTCTTTTTGTTAATTTAGACTCT